CAACTTAATTATTAATTATTACTAATTATTATTAATTATTAATTATTATTTATTATTATTAATTATTATTTATTATTATTATTATTACTATTATTAATTATTAATTATTACTTGATTGTTAAACAAATTCTCTTTGTCAGCACCCTAGGAAGTGTATGGTAAGCAGTCTGGAGAAGATGCTTACCTAAGTTAGCGTGTAAGAGTTAAGCGGACAGCAGCTAGAGTCACTCTGTGTGTCCCTCCTGCTTCCTGTACCTTTATTTCAAGAGTGTTGCGTTGCTATATTGTAATGACAGGTCAGCTCGTTGCTATGGGCCGCGTGCTCATGCGCGAGAAGAGACAAATTGAGTCGGTAGTAACGTGAGCGATGTTGTTGGGAATAAAGTTGTTTAAAAATCGAACCAGCCGAGTTCAATTGTCGTCCGGCAACAACACTATGCAAGGCTTCTTCTTCTTAATGACAAAGTTTAAATCTCGTCGTTGTAACGAAGGCATCATCGACAATAGTCCTAGGTCTAGGAACAATATCCGCAAGTCAGTAGTCAGTAGGGGATGGGGGCACAGGTCAACTATTAACGTTTACTTGATCAGATGTATGGCACCAGCGTAGTAATGATATATAGGAATGACCCTTCCCTAACTTGTTTTAAGCGTCAAGTTTTAAAGGTTAGCCTTACTATTTGAATTTTTCTTTCATATCTGAATGTATGATTTTCCTACTCATTTAAATCTTGTATCTTTTAATTCTAGTTTATATACTTTCGATATCCATGCTAGTTTCCCATCTTATCTTTCCTATTTAGAAATGATAGTATCTTTTTAGATTTTAACCTTTTTTAAGGAGGACCCTAGTGTAAACCACTTTTTGTGAACCTGGTATCTCCAATGAAGATTAGTTATTATTTTTATTATTATTATTATTATTATTATTATTATTATTATTATTATTATCAACGAGAAGTCTTGCTATAATTGCAACGCATCGCCCAATCCTCGTTTCCCGATCGCCTACTGTAAAATCTTAATCCTCCCACCCATCAGTTTAATCTTGTCATTGAAACAACGAAAGAAAGTTTTGTAATTTCAAAACTCATCTCTCTCGTTACAACTGTGTTTCTTCTCAGGAATATTTGACTCCAGAGGACTACAGAGAAGATTCAAGCTACGTTAACACTTGAGGAGAAAACATGTCGGCTTAATTAAGTCTGCTCTAGAGTTGGAGTCTCCGACGCTTGAAATTTTCTCGTTCCTAACTTAGCAGTAGGCTAATTCTATCTTGAAATCATCTATAGGGCATTGAGAGAATGGTTATTTTATTCTCAGGCTCTAGAAGCTGATTTATTTTTAAACATATTGGTTCATGTTGCAATGATGTCGGTGAAATACGCAGCCATTTTTCACCAAAGGGCGTTGCTTTTCTTCAAGAATTTAAGATAGGGTTCCCACGATCTGTCCTAAAATTGTTTACTACATAAACCTCATCCTAAGTAATTTTAAGTTTGTTCTTGCTATGCATGAAGCAGTCGAACTTTAATGTGCGCTTATGATCTAACTCAGCTACCTTCGCAAATGCGTTAGTTTACTTGTCACATTATCAAAGCTAAGGAATCATCAGATGGAACCAATGAGAGGTCAAAGAGAAAGCATGTGAACGGCTTCAACCGCGGGAAAATTAATGCACCTGATTGGCTAAGAAGGTGATGCGAGTAAACGGCTTCAACCGCAATAAAAATAACAGAAGTGGCGAAGTCATGACCAGTTTTAACTTTGCAAGTTTTCTAGATCAATCAAAGACAGAAGTAGTTTTTTTTAAAAAAAATTCAATTTCTTACTATTTTCGTTACTAAAGTAAAAATTTCTGTTGCGTCCCATTCCTTATCTAGTGCCTCATTACTTATTATTAATCAGGGAAATTTCAAATGAAAGTAATGAGTTAAAGAAAGGAGACAAATTTGCGTAGGGTACGTGATCTCTATTGAAATCAGTTTGATATCGAGTCATATGTATTTTTCTACAATAACAGAACAATGCACACAGGTTCATTTTATTTACTGCTTCGACTGATGTAACGAAAGGAATAGTTGGCCCTTTGAAGGCCCCTTGGAGTGATCAGCATCTAATTTCTCTTTATATTCTCGCTACTGAATCACACTTTGAAGTCATGAGAAAAGAAATGATCACCAATCAAGGAAACTCTTGATTGATAAGAGAAATCTCTTTCTCAGTTCAATAGCAAATGTAAAGAGAACAGTTTGGAGAATATGCATACTGATGTTAGGGTGTAAAGGATAACAGGAAAACGTACCTGTGACTTAAATAGTTCAGTTTTGGTAATTCAGTAGTTTTATACTACGATTATGAAAATTTTGTCTCGGAAAGGATTAAATTTATATGATAAACATATGTATTAAGCTATAAGGCATAGCTTTATTTCGAATAATTGTAAAAAAAAATTAATTGTCCTTAGAGACAATTTTTTGGCGTACAGTTGACTTTTTTTATTGATGTTTTTTTTTCAATTCTGCATAAGTGAATTCAGTCGAAGCGCAATCTTCTCACCCTCTCCTCCCTCCCTAGAGAAACAAGTGGTCTGTTTGCAAAACCATTTTATGCCAAGTTAAAGCTCGACTAGTTTTGTATTTCATTATTTTGATATTTAAAAATTGTCACATTCCGAGTATTTATATTCTTGTTTAATCTTTCATTTAGCGCAAATGTTACCAAGTTT